CTCTATCCTTTCTCATCATGTCCTGGAAAACTTAGCCAATTGCTATCCTAGCTTATTAATTTGCCAATATACTTTTGAACTGTTGATCTTTTTAAAAGATGCATTGTTCTGTTGTTTATCCCAAAAGAAAAACACATTTTAGATTCCTTTTCTCTTTGCTCTATTAAGTCTTTTCACTAGATGTTAGTTCTTCTGCTTGTTGAATTTGGTACCTCTTAATGCTAGTTTTCCTTAAATAGCACTGACACTTTGTTTTATGTTAATTTCTTCTTTATTTAAGAATCCTTATTTTCCTACATATTCACCTATCTTGAGTAATTGAAGAAGGGAAATGGAAGGAGTTGCCAAGACCAGTAGCTTGGGTTCTTGCAATGTGGACTCCCCATTTCTCTACATTGGGACATTGCTCTTCCATTCCATTCCTGGTGCCTAGCAAGGTGATTTGTCCTGTGGACAACACAACTGCTTCTTACTTATTAACACAATAAAAAGAGGACAAGGAGATCTAGCTCCTCACTTAATCACCCTGACTATCAACTTCTTATGGTTATTGGCTCCTAGCTTTAAACTCCCCTACAGTTAGCTTATGTCCACACCAATCTTCTCAGCAAGTGTTTTAGAATTATGGTATCCTATGGTTTTACTTCTCCATTGATCAGATCTTATTTGTGTTGTATCTTTTGTGACTCTTCAACATTTCTGATTCAGTAATGATATTCTCAATTGTCTTTATAAATTTATTTTGTTTCTTAAACATCTTTTGTCAGTTCAGAGGACTTAGATGAGTGGTAGAATACTTACAAGCACTGGGTCTACCATTTTTATTCAAATCTCCCTCTATTTTCTTAATAGACTTAAACTTAGCCATCTTGACTTTGTGCTTCTCATACTACAAAGAACTGTTTATGATACATTGTCCTTTCCAACTATGAAGAAAACATGAACATATTTTATTATTATTCAGAGCTCAACCCTGATAGGAGAAATGGCTGTTTCCCAAAAGGAAATAATGACATAAAATGAAATATTAGGTGAGAACAGAAGTGTAGGTGAAAACAAGTGTTAATATGGGCAAAAATTAACTCGTGTTAGATAATGATTTTTTCTCTCTACAAATTCATGATTCTATTTCCTACTGAATAAGCAGGTATTTAAATCAAATAAAAAGGTGCATCCTTCCAAATTTGGCAGTATTTTTTCACAATGAGCCATAGATATGTTCTCTTCACTTCCTTATAAACACCTACCCTGTAGCATGGTTATTGAAAAGAGCACTGGTTTTAGAACTGTAATTCCCAATTTGTCCACTCAAATTTTCTGACTTTCCACTGATTCGTCTATAAACATTGGATAGAAATATGTATAACACTTGAAAAATTATAAAGTATCCTACAAGCTTAAAGGTGGAAAAAGAAAGATTGTCATATTGCAGTCAAAACAAAGACATTTTTCTGGCTGCATTTTTAGATTTTGCTCAACCCCCCTACATCCCCCCCCCCCCGCCAAAACGATTTTGTCCTTATGGCCCAAGTTTCACTCTCACATCTAGCCATTTGTGTCAGGAAGAAAAACAAAGATAGTGAGTAGGCCAAGTGACAAGTTGTATCTACAGATGGATAAAGGTATGTCCTCTTGCAATGCTCCTGTTTTTGCAATATCTAGTCCAGTTTCATTTTCTGGTATAACGAAAATGCTGTGGGAGGCTTACCTGAGATTAGAGGACGTTGACCTTTGGAAGGTGTTGACTGCTCCTGAAGAAACCTCACTGGTACTCAAAGGAATGGGGTGGGGTGAAAATACACCCATGCAGAGGCAGGAAGCATCACAGGTGCAGAAGAAGAGCAGGACAATGCCGCAAAAGAAGGCAATTCTTACCCAAACCAGACCTTGAATTCTAAGTAGTTCCCTCTCAGGGACACATAGACTGCTGAGCTTGTTTCAGATCTGGGTTAGAACTCACACCACTCACAAAGAAATGGCTCTGCATGGTTAAAAAAAAAGAACTGGCCTATCCCTTTGATAGAGAAGTTTTAGGTACTTAATTACTAAAAAAATTATATTGAAATGAAGATCATTCCTTACTACAAAGTCTTCTCTGATTCCACAGAATAGGTTAGAATCCCTGTATCTTGCCCTCAAAGCATTTGTCTCAATAAAAAGCTGGCTACCCATTTCCTCATAGATAGAAAATCTGGATCTCTGAGCCAGGAGCCAGAAAGTTTGGGCAAGATGGAATATTTTCTCACTTTCCCTCAAGAGGCCATGATAGCATATCTTTATGAGGCTCAGTGATGAAATGCCCTAGGTTGTTTCCTCAAGTAACTGCAAACCCAAAGATGAGTGGACATTCCTTCATGGTCTGGCACACTGTTGGCCTCAGCTTTCCATATTGTGGGTCATGGTTTTTGTTTTAACTGGGGTTTTGGAGGGAAGCTTGCACAAGTGGGGAAGGTGCCAGCCTGAAGTCACTCTGAAATGACTGCTGGGAAAGTGAACAAAGCCAGAGGCTGGCCAGAGTTCAAGTCACTCACCTTGCTGGGTCTGATTTTCCTCACATGTCAAATGGGTGCTTGAAATCTGCAACGTCTATGTCCCCCCTGCCCTGGCATCCTGTGCATCTTGTGGTTCTACGTTGAAATTAATTTGGGGGGGTGGCACCTGCATGACTCAGTTGGTTAAGTATCTGCCTTCGGCTCAGGTTATGATCCCAAGGTCCTGGGATCAAGCCTGGAATCAGGCTCTCTACTCAGTGAGGAACCTGTTTCTCCCTCTCCTTCTGCCATTCTCCCTGCATTCTCAGGGTCTAGCAAATAAAGAAATAAATAAAATTTTTTAAAAAATTAATTTTGTTTTAATATTGTAGACATAGTATTTTGTTTTTCCTACCTAAAGCCAAGTGTTTTCCTAAACCAACTATTAACTTTATTTTGAGTAAGATATCTCAAAAAAATCTAAAACTAAAATTCCATTCAGAGTCTAAAAATAGTACTTACAGACCTACTTCTCTATTTCTCTTGATAGTATGAATTTATATGTAATTTCAATTAAGGAATAAGAAATTAGACATAGAAGGACACAAATAATATTTGGGGATATGGAGTAATCCATAAGTCAGTAAACAGTTTGAAAAAAAAATCGTTTGGAAAAGATTTTCCTGAAATTATACAATCTCCTTTTCTCTCAAAAATATGTCCATTTCCCTGTTAGAACATAAACGGGTATAATTATCTTAACTTTGTAGCTTTAAATCTTAATAAAACTTCAATCAGGATACTTAGCTATTAGAGGACAAATACATTTGGTATGAAATTTTCAACTTAAAGATGTAACCAGTAGGGCGCCTGGGTGGCTCAGTTGGTTAAGTGACTGCCTTCGGCTCAGGTCATGATCCTGGAGTCCCGGGATCGAGTCCCACATCAGGCTCCCTGCTCAGCGGGGAGTCTGCTTCTCCCTCTGACCCTCTTCCCTCTCGTGCTCTCTATCTTTCATTCTCCCTCTCTCAAATAAAAAAGTAAAATCTTTAAAAAAAAAAAGAAAGATGTAACCAGTAAAGTTGCCCTTTTCATCCTCCAAATTTGCATGCAACAGATAGTCCCCAGTTATGTGCTGGGGACTGTTTATAAACATTCTTTTTTATAGATAATCACAACTCCCTCCCCAGAAATGATGCCATTGCCACTGAAAACCTAATGATGTGGCAAAACAGACTGTGGCTTGGATGCAACCACCAGCCACCAAAGCCTGCAGATTCTATATATTTTCCTCTGGCATGGGTCAGCTCAAGAGATGAGTAAGCCAAACCAGTGGCACAAGAAGGTCTTCCACAAAGCCTTGGCCCTGGTCCTCCTTGTTCCCTCAGGAAATTAGCTCTATTCCATAATAGGAAGGAGACCGAAGAACTCAAAAAGGATGGGAGAATAAGAAAGCTCCCTTCTGGTTATTCAGTGGTTCTCTATTGAGTCCAGGATAATGTGTGAGTTCTTCATCCAGACCCTTAAAGGTCCCACTTTCTGTGCCCAACTGGATATTGCCACCTTAACACACCACAGGGAATGGTAGTGGGGTGGGAACCATTATAGATCAGAGCAGAGTGACAAGATCTGCCTTATGTATTATTTTTACTCATTCTCCTCAAAAACACCCTACACTTCCAGCACAGACCCATTCATCCTGAGTGCCTTCTCCAAGCATCCCTGCCCAAAGCAATCTCATTCCACCTTCAGTGCCCAGCTTCAAGACCCCTCCTACATAGAGCTACCTTGATTCCTCCAGCAGGATGACTCTCCTTCTTATTCTAATCTTGCAAATGCCCAAAGTACTTGGCTTAGACCAAGGTTTTGTATTTTCTGCCTTGTACTATTAAGAGTTAGATGACCAAAAGTTAGATTATGTTTTTCTTTGAGGCTCAGCTGGATTGCAAACCCCTTAAGCATGGCTTACATTTTATACAGCAAAACAGCACTGCTACTTCAACTGTGGGAGAAGCCAGGTGCCTCCACAAGTTCATCAACTCAGTTTCTAGGCCCTCGGCTATATGACAGCCAGCCAACTGCCAAGAGTTTTGCCAATAGGTCCAAATCAAGTTCATCCACATTTCTGAAAACATGAGTGGGGATATTCATGTTCAAAAAAGTTAAGACCAATTATCATCCAACCACTCTTCTCCAGCTAAACTCCTTTGACATGCACATCTATTGTTACTTTTCAGATGGAATCCTGTGGGGATTCATTGGGTCCACCACTCATTTGGGGACTTATCTTGTGTTGCCTTTATCTTTGCTAACTTTCTGTGCCACATTTACTTCCTTCCACTAAAATGTAAGTTCTTTAGGGATGGAGGCCTCAGAGTTCTTTGTGGACCCACATGTCCCCTTACCTATAGGCCCTTGAACCAAAACTATTTGCAGGTGGACTATTTGCATGGCTCTTCCAGCCTTCAATTGCAAAAAAAATACAAAAAGCAGGAGACCAAAGATAAACTACTGCCTCTGTTGTAACAGGATTTTGTGCCGCTTTATCAAAACTTTGAGAATTTTTACACGCGGAACCTGTACATGAGAATCAGAGACAACTGGAACCGGCCCATCTGCAGTGCCCCGGGGTCTCGGTTCGATGTGATGGAGAGGGTGTCGGATGACTACAACTGGACATTTAGGTGAGGCAGCCTTCTGGAGGGGCTTGGTTGAGAGAAATCCTTCCCAGGAAATCCTAGCATGGGCACCAAACTACAGAAATGATGAACACCAAACCATGGAATTTGCTGGTCTTCCATCACTGGGCCCTTTGCAAGCCCTCATAATTCCAGTGAAGGAAGTCACGGTAATTCAGCTGCCAAGGGTGGCTATGTTAGATTAAAATAAAGCTTGTGTCAGAAAGTGCAGGATACACAGAGCCAGCCAGGAAGAGCCTTTTCAGCCTTATTGACAAATTATATCCCCCTACTTCTTGCTGAAGGAGACAGTGATGATCATGGCTCTTTCTCACCTAGAAAGTTCTTGCTGGAATTTTAACAAGAACACAGGTATCACAGAAGTGAGCACCCAAGGAAAATTAGGGCTAAATAATACTCCATGGCTTGTGATACCTTTTTCCAATGCTCTGCCCAGCTTCATTTTGGGGTTACTGTCTTCCAAAGACAGACCATTTTGTGTTGACAGCAATTCACATCAGAAAGGAGAAAGAAAATATATGATTGGGGCCAGACCCAAGATCTCCTTGTAAGAGTCTTTTATGGGACACTAGGATGATGTTAAATGAGAAAGCCCTTTGTGGTCTTCTCTCTGCAGGTTCACTGGAAGAATCATCAAAGATGTCATCAACATGGGCTCATATAACTTCCTTGGCCTGGCTGCTAGTTACGATGAATCTATGAGGACAGTAAAGGATGTTTTAGAGGACTATGGCTTAGGTGTGGCCAGCACCAGACATGAAATGGGTATGTATGTTCATCATTTTGAAATTTTGTCCAGTTGGTCCTCAGATTCTTTATGGCAACTTCTCAAACCTAGATCGTATCTAGACTGTGTACCTCAAAAAGCTGTTATAAATTGCAAAATGAGAAAGGTGTCTGAAGTTCTTTTTGGAAATTTCAAACGTTATGCTCTTGCCAGGTAGTTTATTAATTACAGGTTTTAATTCTCCAGAAAAAAATAAAAATAGATCTTTCTTTAGACCACATTACCTAAAATAGCAACTATTGTGCCTCTTCCATCTGGTCCTTTTCTGGATCCTTCCCACACTTTTTCTTTAAACAGTTTTAGTGAAGTATAATTGATATTGTTAAAACCTGTACTTACTTAATTTATACAATTTGATGGGCTTAGACATATAAATACACTCTGAAACCATCACCCCAATCAAGGTAATAAACATGTCCATCACCTTGGAAAGTTTCTTTGTGTCCCTGCTTTTTGTGGTAAGAACACTTAACATGAGCTCTACCCTTTCAACGAATTTTTAAAGTGTACAATGCAGTATTAATTATAGACACAATGTTGTACAGCAGATCTCTAGAACTTACTTATCTTGCATGACTGAATTGTATATCCATTGAACAACTTTTTGTTTAGATTTTGCTCTTTCTTAATGATGTCCATCACTGATCTTGCTTTTGTATTTGGATATTGCCCATCACTGCTACTAAAACATAAGCTTCATGAAGGGAGGGATTGAATTGGCCTTGTTGTCTGTCATGTTGAATGATTGAGTGAATGGGGATGAATGAATGGGCAAGGTGAAACAGACTGCCTATTTGTTTCTCTTTTAGCTGAAACATTTTTCTCTTAATCAAAGGAGTGAAATCTGTGAGAAGGAAACTTCTGGTCCTCTCCACCTCAGGGAGAAAGAGTGATGCAAGCTTCCTCCTATAGAGTGTCTTGCTATTCCTGACACAGTGTTTTCTTATATGTCATCTCATTTATTCCTCACAAAAGTCCTCTGCTCAAGGAGGCAGCACAGGCGATGTTATTTCATCTTCTAGAGGAAAAAATAGGATCACAGTGACTAAGTGATGTCCCCCCAGTGGCTTGTTAATCATACTAACTCCCAGTCTAGCTAGCTTCTCCTAAGACAGCATTTTCCCACCCAGAATGATATATGCATGGTTTACCATGTCAGTTTCTGGCCAGTCTAAGAACCCAAGGTAAATCTACTAAAAAGGGATTGACCATTAATGAAAAATGAGCCATGTGCCTCTCTTAGATATCCAGTTGACAAAAGAGCATTAAAAACCCATGCAACAAAGAACAATTTAAGTTGAACAAAGTAACTTTTTTAATACATACATTCAGTTAACATTTAGCGAAAGCTCCATAGTTTATAAGTGGTTGACCAGATTTCTTAAGAAAGGCATCTTACTTATGTTCATTTTGAGGCAGGAGGGCTGCAGATATGAGCAGAATGCAGAAGGAAGGTTCTACTTCACTTAGCAGAACTGGGTCACCCATGATACGCCATTTGGGATGGGGCAGAGACTGGAAGACTACCCCCAGTCATAAGACATGGAGTCAGTAAGCTTTGGGGATATTTCCTCTGGTGCTGGTGACACCCAACACCAGGATTGTTGAACCCTCCTCAGTCACAGCCAGCAGAAGCTAAACCTGATACAGACAATGGTTTCCTTCCTATGGAAGCCAGATGTGGAATAGGAGTTCCTGATTCTGCAGACTCAATGAACCAGAGAAGCCAGGCAGAGATGAAAATCATAGTTTCAACTGCCTGCAGCCAAGGTTCTTTCTCCACTTCCTCAGCCTTCTGAATGGCTGGACTTTTAATGTTTACCTGCTTCACTTAGTCTCTGGCTCAAGCTCTAGGAAGAAGATTTTAACAGTTTTCAAGGAAACAGTAAGAGAGCAAAATAGAAGCCACCCACACTAATTTTAAGCAAACAGAAGAATTGATAACAAGGATGGATATGAGCAGTCAGAAGATAAAGAAGTAAACGGGGTGCATTTTAAAGTATTGTGCAACATAAGCAGTAACCTTAGCATAGCATATAAGAATTAGTAGCATAATTTTGAATGCCACTTATTTCAAGAAATACAAAAAACTTTTAGAAAGCATAAGCTATCTAGTCTTAAGAAAATGTTTAACAGTGCCAGTGGATTGTCAGTGAAAATTTGAGAATATAGAGGCTTACCAATTTAACAACCAAAAATGCTCCTTGAGGAGCCCAAAGTAAAACTTTAGGAACATTTAATCACTTGAGTACTTTCCCAGAGCTTTTAAAAATAGTTTCCAATGTTCTGAAGGGAAAAACACACAAAAATCATATTACAAAATAGGAAATTAAACAAAAAAGAAATCAAGAGGAAGTATTTAAAGCACAGTGAAAGGATAGAAGACCACACACAGTATCTTGGCCAAAAATATGTGAGAAGAACATATTTGCCCACTGAAAGAAAAGGACTGAGATTTTGCCAAAAACCCAAACTCAGCTACAAGCTATAATCACAAACAAATACAAGTAAATATAAGTTATTCCTAAGACTGAAAAGTAGAAATTTAAGTCCCAGCCAGACACCTGGTTCTCGCCTCCCTGCAGCAACCACCACTAAAATGAACTCAGTGCTCAAGAGAGAGGTCAATTCAATAAAAAGTACAACAAACAAAGAGCTCTAGAGTAAAGTTGTGTGTCCAGTCTGCATCTGCAAATGCTAGGACAGAGACTGAAATACAGCTGAGCTGTAAGGAATGAAACATTTCCAGACACATATGTACAGAATTGCAAATGCTGTTTTTAACATGTGGAATGATGTGCTGCTGTTATTTTCACGTACAACTAAAAAATACTGGCATACAGAATTAAGGGAGGCTTTGACTGTCTCGCGGTCAATTTAATTTTCCATAGCCTGATGGAAGGGATGGCACATTTTTTTGATATCCTAAATATGAGGCAGAGTGAAATGGAAATTTGGAGTCATAATCAACCATTTAAAATGCCTGACACATTTTTAATTCTTATCCTCTATATTCATGGGTGCATTTTTTATTAGAATTCTCCTTGATCTGGGCTGTCTCCTTCGAATTGTGTGCCATGTGTCATATCTTTGGTAGTTACAGACTAGTTTTTCCTAATAACTTTCTTAATGTGCCGTGAAAGATTAGAAATCTTTGAGTATTGCTGTGTGTGATATTACGTTGTAAACTAGTGAACTCTAGACTGAACAGCTTATCAAAAGTTGAAGAGACTGCTGCTCAACATCCTCTTTTTAAGGTGGCTTGCTTCCGGATTTTTAGCTGGAAAATCACTTGAATAACTGTTTACAGATTCTAAAATTACATGGATTTTTAGATTTTCAGCACCAGGATTGAGAATTGTTCATGATGTCTGAGTATTAACAGAAAACAATAATCAGTAATATCTCCATTATGCAAGGTATTTCCACATTTGATCTTTGAATTTCTTTATCTGAAAAAAACTATTTAATTTTTCTGTATGTGGAAGGTGTTTGTCTGAATATGTTGGTTGGACAATGAAAAATGTAATACAGCAGGCTCTGAGGCAAAGTAAATGCATAATTGCTTGTTCTTCTTTCATATTAAGCCAAAAAAATAAAGAACAAGCTGAAACTTTAAAAAATAAACAAACAACATAAATGTGTGGTACAAATGCAAACAAAAAGGAAAGCAGAAGATTAGTTTAAAATTATTAGTTGTTATTAAACAGAGGAAGAGACTCACCTTATAAAAATTATGTGGAGAGCCCATAATGAAGACAGATTCAAGTCCTATATCCTCTATGCATCAAGTAACACAGTGCAGACATCGATGGCTGTTATTTTTCTGTACACCTGGAAATTAGGAGAATGAATTATGAGAGGCTTTGAAAATCATGTGGGTCAATTTAACATTCTACAGGCTGATTATAAACAAAAGCAAGACAAATAAAATAGTGATAAGAGACCACAAAGTACCTTCCAGTCCTTGAAAAGGAAAGAAGGGAGGGAGGGAGGGAGGGAGGAAGGAAGGAAGGAAGGAAGGAAGGAAGGAAGGAAGGAAGGAAGGAAGGAAGGAAGGAAGGAAGGAAAGGAAAAAAGGAAAGAAGGAAGGAAGGAGGGAAGAAAGGAGAGAAGGAAGGAGGGGAGGAAGGAAGGAGGATAGAAAGGAAGGAGAGGAGGAAGGAAGGAGGGAGGAAGTGAAGGAGGAAAGGAAGATATAAAACATAAAGGACACTAACAATGCAATTACTGACTTCCATTTAATATTTATATATTGAATTAAGAGCCTTAAAACATATTACCAGTATACCTCATCTTTTTAAATACCTAGTGAATTTTCACAAAAATTTACTATATTTTATGCCACAAAGAAAACCTCATTAGATTCCAAAAAGTGGAATTTACATAAGTCACATTCTTGGATCACAGTGAAATAAAGCTAAAAATAAATAATAAAATTAGAAACAATTCCTTTTTAAAAAAATCTCTGGAATGTTTTAAAGCCCTTTCCTAAGAGACTCTTGAATCAAAAGGGAAATGAAATTACATTTACATTATATTTAGAAACTAACAACTGTGAGAACACCATAGGGTCCAGCTAGTTGTGTAATCAGAGGAAAATATATAGTCTTACTTTACTAAAGATGAAAGATTGAAGCTAGCAAACTAAGCTACCCATGCAGTAAGGAGTAAAAGGTAAGCAAAAGTATTGAATTTTTAAAAAATAAAAACAGAAATTTATTAATTAGAGAAGAATAATTTCTATTGGGCTGAGGCATCTGTGTTTTAATAAGTCACTAGAGGTGATTTCAATGAGCGGCAACCAGAGTTGGCAACCGCTGAACAAAATTTGACAAACAAGCACTTAGCGAAAAAACATATGTATGGAATTGACGTTGCAAATCAAACAGTGTACTCAAATAACAAGACACCATGATCAAGTAGTTCATTTCAGTAACTATGAGGATAGTTAGCTCAATAATAAGGCAATTCATAA